TATCGCTGTGTAACGTTTGGTGCGGAACAACCAATGAAATTTCCAAGTGCTCTCGGACCTCCTGCTTTCGATATTCCAAAGTCAGTGCTTGAATGTTATTTGGAAGAAGACTTCCCTATCTCGGAAATTGCAAATATGATGTCAGTATCTGAAAGTACGATTTACCGCCGAATGAGACTTTACGGGCTAAGTAAATTACAGTTTTCCAACATATCTGACGAGGAACTTGATCACCAAGTGCATGAAACCTGCCTAGTTGTCATTTAGTATGAGTTACTCATATTATTATCACTGGTTTGAACCAGTCCACAACCGACGAATGGAGTACTTAAAGGTGCCCACTTCAAGACATCATAAGGGCAGGAGCCACTAAGAAAAAGGGTCTCAAGGCAATTCACAAAAACTGCCTTTATGATCTGCAAAGTCAGGAACTTAAAAGGATACAGCAAGCCTCACCCTTTACTTCAGAATAGCTAACAAGATTCATTTGTACTTAGCAGACATTCTAAAACCTGAAGTTATGATCAATCTCTTGACTGACATTATCTAAATTTACAGGCAAAAACTGTATGAATTGCCCCAAACCTAAGCAGTGCAAATCTTTTTGCATTTCAACTATAACAAAACAACATCTACATTGTAAAGACTACTGGTACTTCATGACCTGTAGCATGGAAAAAGCAGAAAAATGATAGTTCATAATTTTCTCGAGGGTGGCAATACCTGTACTTAAGCATGACCAAAGTAAGCATTTAAAAATGCTAGGTCATACAAGTTATAACTGTTTTTCTGTCGGAAGGCCATGATTGACGGATGGCCGTGGGAGAGTTAAACGGCAAATGCAAGTATTTTTTTGCAAGTTCATTGTCTGCACCTGTTGTAAACTGCAGTATGTGGCCAAGGCCTAAACCAGCTCTTCTCCCACCTTTAGGTCAAAGAAGCATGACGAACTGTTTTAGTTACATCATTTGAATATATTTGCTTCAAAAAACCTATCTGGTATAATATTGCAAATAGATACTGTATAAGTAAGTTCAACAGCCTTTACATGATAAATCCATCCTTGATGGTCAAAAACAATTTTCAATATCTGGTTTAAGTCATATTTTGTCAGATTCAGTTTGCCCCTTGTTAATCTTAGATATTTAGATATAAGCAGTTGTTCCTATTCCTGAGTTATGTTACATGTCTGAGGCAAAGATATGTTGCCTCCACACAGGGAGAGATTTTTATTAGCAAGATGCATTATGTGTGAATGTGAAAGATTGTTCATATTGAATGTCCAATAAACTTACTTCCAACCTCTCTCAAGTATTTCAAAAACTGAGAATAAACAGAATTTTCAAATTTTCTCTTGTTTGATCCTTCTTCACTGAATTCCGGTTTCAAAAAATGAATGACTTTTCTCACATTCAGATTTGCTGCTTGGCTAGGTCTCAACAGGTGCAAAAACAGGGGGAGTTGGCATCCAAGCTGTTGAGATAAAAATACTAAAGAATTGATTGATGCCCACAAAACACATTAAAGTTAGGAAATTTTTACAAGGCCGAAATACTCAAGTATGTTCCTGTACACAGAGTATGCAAGGCTGTGCTCCAAAATAAAACTGAAGAGAGAGCACCAATGCTCTTAACCAGTGCTATCAAGGGTGTGCAGCATACAATTTCTACAAGAAAAGTAAGATTTTATAGTCATCCAGAAACAACACTGGCAGAGTTCAGCCTTGGTATGACTGTATGATTGACTGCCTGATGAGGAATAGTCTATGTTTTGCTAATAACAATAACAAAAGCACTTTAGACCACCATAGTCTTCGGCTTCCTGGTGGTAACAAAAAGATCAACAACAAAAACCACATTATCCTATGAAACCAAACATTTCACCACCAATCACATTTATTAAAAACTGTTCTGAGTATGGTGTTTACTCCAATAAACCCTGCTCCCAAATGAGTCACTCCAAATAATATTGACATATGACTGTGCTGTGGCACTTTTTTCAGTAAAATATAGAATGATATGATTTTGATAAAGGACAGCTTGACAAAAATGAAATGCTTATTACCTGTTACTTAGAAAACTTAAGGTAAAAAAAATATACGTGCACAAGTGGTAATAGGATTGAGTGGGGGTACTATCCATGGAGCAATCTGGTCTTAGTGGCTTTCAACATTTAACATCTCAATCCTGAATACCCTGAATTAGGACAGGAACTCCTCTATGAATTAACAAAAAATAAGGATTAATTATTGTGTCAACAACAAAAAGCAAGAATGTCAGGATTTGAACATTCATTAAAGTACAAATTTCTTGAACATCAGTTTACATTTTTTTTACAACTTTTGCACAAACTATCAGAATATGGAGCACAGGGCTCCAAGTGCATTGATCAACCTTTTTTAACACAAATAAAATTTGTCAAATTGAATTGCTGACTGGACTAATTCAGGTTGATAAACCCTAAAGGGGAGCAACAATTGATGCTTGATTTTCATTGGCTGTTAAACTGTCCAGCTTCACCTGTCTGATTACGTAGAGCTTCTAAATGGACAGGCAAAGCAGGACAGTTCTGCTGCTAAATCAGCCAAATTAAGCAATATCTAAGGGAAGTTGAGAACCAATCAGATTAAAAAATTCTGTTGTTGACACAGTTATGCCATAAATAAAACTGTTTCCTAGAACAAATATGGTGACAAGAGTAGTACCTCATCATAAAATTGTACTTCTAAGGTCTTTCTATTTCTGTAGTCTTGCAGACAACTTAACTCATCAAATGATGACTGAAGTAGGTTTGAACAATCAACAATAATGTAATTGGTTTCTCCTTCTGTTGGTTCATGCAGCATTTCCAACTTCTAGGTCTCTTCCAGTTACTATGTTTTGTTGAAAACACTGTAAGATCTCTACTGGATTGTTGACATCATGTGTCTGGCAATAATGGACAGTTTTATTGACAACTTCATCCACTGACATTTCTGCCATGATTAAGGAAGTGTCAATACTAGGGTCTTCTGCACTTGAATTGAAAGATGGAGGGTTAGTTGGATCTGGATTCATGGAAGTAGAACTTCTCTCTACAACTGAAGGACTGTGGGAAACCAGGGAATAAACAGCAGAGGTGGTGAGATTCCTCTGGGTGCTTTCCAAAACTACATGGCTTGAAACAGCTGTTGTAGTTGTTGAGGACCCAAGAGTTGTTGGTCGTGTTTCAAACACCGAAGTTTGCAGGGTTGATTCATCGATCTCATCATCTGTATCTTCACAATCCCATAGATGCTTTCTTAGTTGACGAACCAAAATTTCTTTCTTGCATTTGTTACATTTTTCTTTAAGTGCAGATTCAGCACCCTTTAGTGCAAGGGGTCTCGTAGAAAGGGATTTCTGTATAGGTACCAGATATATTTTGCTTTGCCCACCTCCCAGATTGGCTCTGAGGTCCTTTGCGTTCCATGCACAAGTAATTCGAGTTAAGTCCCTACAGTTCGGACTGCACTGCATTAGCTCAAAGCCGCCACATGTTCGAAGGGCGGGAAATCCTTCTGGTTCCCCTTGACTATCCAAGGCATCTGAGCTAATCTTTTCCTTAACGGTATTCTCATCATCTTCAATATCGAGCTTAATCTTCTTCAGTCCAGGTCCGGCTTTGAAAAGTATTTGCTTTTCAACTGATGTAGGCGTTTTAAAACTAAACCGGTCGGCTACACAAACAAAGTGAGCGGTCCATAGCTTCGACTTTGTGGTTGTTTTTCTTCGTTTAGAATCACTCCTAGAGGCTACTCTCCCTTGCCGTCGCGGATTAAACAAAGCTAATCGCTCTTCTCGATTTCTTGATGTGGATGCATGGGAAACTTCGGAATTTGCCTGCTTCCTTGCCTTGCAAAGATTGCGAAGACGTATGCGTTCGCTGATGGTACAAACACCAAGTCGAGCTAACTCGCTGTCTGAAGCTGAAATTACGGTGTCAACTTCCACTTTCTCATCATTGAATCTATCAACTAGAGTTCCCAAATTCAGTTCTCGAAGTACGTCATCCATAAATTTAAGACATAAAAATGACCTGTAAGGTTACGGTTTGTACGAAGACGGGAAGAAATTTCTCTTGGCGCGTTAACGGTGTGTACGTCATGTATCGCACATGTTCACTGACCGTAGCCGAACGCTGACCATGTGATGAATCGAAACGGTGGGCTCTGGGGACCAGTCTCACGAATACGATGTGAGCATGTGCTTTGGAGTAGTTTAGATGACCAGATATACTGGCTCAGTGAATACCATGTTGCAAATGCTCCGAATATAATGCTGTGTGAACCGAATCGCTGAGCACCGAGTAGCAAGTTGTTTGCACCGAGTAGCAAATGTTCGCACCAAACCAGATGCTAAACTGACCACAAATCAGGTGCAAACTGATTACGTAAAAAGCACAGAGCATGGCAAATTATTCACCGAATATAAAGAAAGCTGCAACGCTAAAAATTGATCCAAGCGCCGAGTATAGAGCGGTTAGCAGTGATTATAAGGGCTTTCACACCAGGTATAATGTGGAAATTACCGAGTACCTTGGATAAAGAGCCGAGTATAAGGTGACTGGCACCGATTATAGCAACCAGACCACCAAATATCATAATACAAGCACCGAAAATGATAAGAAAAGCACCACGGATAAGAAAACAAAATATCATAAGACAGTTATGGCGTTCCATAGTTATGCATATGTCGAGTTATTATCCTGATGATAAGTTTGACAGTCCTGATATCTTTTACTGATTGGCGCTTGCTGCTAATTGTTGAAAACCCTTTCGAGCCTCCTTAATTAGAGTACTTCTAAAAAACCTGACAAGTTGACGTCTCATGAGTCAAGCCGACGCGAGTACCACAAAGATCTATCGCTTCCCTATTTGCTTCCCTTTATACGCCTTTAATATTAGAAATGCTTACCGAGATAAACTTCATCGTTGTTTGTATTTCGACTCACTCAGAAAGCTCGTCAAAGTACGGCACAACTCATAAAATTACTCAGCGGTACTACTGAGCAAAACGTTTGATAAGATACATATTTACTACCATAATAAGGTGAACATTAAAGTTTCGAGACGAAAAATCGATATTTGAGAGAGATTCTGAAGAGTTATCTTAGTAAGGAGAGCAAGAATCCGTGTCGGAAACTTGCTCTGATCATGAAGTAAGTGGCGTGAAAATTGTGGTGTGTTGCTTGCTGACAGGAGATTTGTAAAAGCTGAAGGCTGTTAAAGCGATTTGACAATGACCGGAAATTCCCGTCTGTACACGAGTGTTGTTTCTTTTCCCTAGTTTTTCGTCAAGCTTGAATTATGTTAATTTATTGTCTTTGGGCTTGGTTTCCCGGAGGGTAAAGGTAGGTCAGGTTTTTGCGAGAGTTTAAAGGCGCTTTTCTCATGCGGTAGCATAGGTGGTCTAACAAATATAAATATCAGATGTAGTTTGTGAAGATCGACTAATGTTTTCTTCTAGTTTGACTTTACCTTTGGCTAACACGACTAGGAATAGTGTTCCTCTTCCTGTTAATTTAAATTGAGAATAAGATCGAGTGAAAACAGTGCGAGAGATTTGTGAGAGAGTGCATATGAGACTATAAGGGCGTGTGACATCGCAAACCGGAATAAATTCTCTAAATTCGTAAGAAGACAGGCAAGAAACAGTGTCACGCAGCTTTGTTTTCTGTGGCGTGACTTGACAAGCGTTCCATTTGTAAACAGTGATTGATATGAAAAAGTTTTGCTCTGAAACAGTGCGGCTAAAGAGAAAAGGCAGACCAGGAAGACATGGGCAAGCAATCCACCATGGCCATCTGCAGAAATCATCCCCTTCCCACTGTGCTATCGTCTCTTCAGGGCTATCCACAACCCCAATTAAAAATAAGTCCGCAATGCGTACATGTGTGGCTTACGAAATTGAGCACAAGTAGCCCAAGATCTGTATATGAACCGCACAAGGAACACAATAAGGCATATCGATTTGTAAGGATTTGTATGGGCTTATCTACTAGATGTCCATGGAGGTAGTTAAAAATGAAAATATTCAATGAAAATGGCTTACCTTATTCCATGCATGTGTTGTTTGCTCCTGGTGTCGTTATTTTACCGATTTAACTTGATTTAAGGAATTTTTTTTTAATTCTGGTTTTCAAAAGAATTGCTTAAATCAAGTTAAATCGGTAAGATAACGACACCAGGAGCAAACAACACAGGTATGGATTAAGGTAAGCCATTTTCATTTAATATTTTCACTTTTAACTACCTCCATGGATATCTAATAGCGAAGCCCATACAAATCCTTATAAATTGATATGCCATATTGTGTTCCCTGCGTGGTTCATAGAGAGAGCTTGGGCTGCCTGTGAATTGAGCTGCTCTTTGGTGTCTGGTGTCTTATTGAGTTTCTGTTAGAAGAGCAAATATCTGATTACGGTTAGATAGTTTTCAATATTGTACCTGTTCATCGATAAAATAAGATAACTAGCATACAATAGTCTCAAAAAAGTTCATTACAAAGGTGAGGGTTAATGGTCAAACTTTGTTATGGAGGCCTCATTTTGACAACAAAGGTTCCACATGCAACCTGTGGATTTTAGGAACTAAAAAGTGTCAGCATCATCTCCCACAGTGGCCTAATAGATTCGGTCATGATTTTGTTTACATATCTGAGTGGAATAGAGTTCTGATATTTTTCGGTGGTGTTTTCCAAGGCAAGTGACGTGAATTAACTCTAGGAAAGCATTTCATATGAAAATGTTTTGCATTTTGTGTACCAGTACGAGAGGACAGAACTTTCCAGAAGGGCCGAAACATTCTGGAAATGATGAGATCTACACTAGAAGCCATTGGTAGCTTGATTTGGTTTGAACGTACAACTAATTTTGGACAATACATACATGTAAAGTAACACAATGCTGAGTCTAGGTTTCTATTATTCATTAAAGCAGAAAGTTCTTTTCAGTTGGTCGAGAGCAAAATGTTTACTCTAATTATTGTAATGATTTGGGTTTTGCAGGACTGTATTTTCAATAAAAAACAGAAAAATTTAGTTGAGGTAGGTGGATATGGGGTTACAAATGGAAGAATCTAGGGAAAAAAGATTGGTACATATGATTAGAACACAATATTTTAATGAATCATATGTTAGGTAGTACTCTTAAGTAACGTTACATTAAAACTACTATTATTTTTTAACCCAATAAGATTTACATTTTGACCTGGAGGTTTCATTTGGCAGAAAGTTCAATAGAGAGAAGTGTCACCATAATAGATTTTAGGAACAGTAATCAGAAACATTACTTAAACACAAGAGAGTTCAATGTACGGGCAAGCGCATGATGGTATCCATGATGTGATTTAAAGTACCAGAATCTTTCAAGTTTTCTTATTGTTGATATTGCTATTTCATGCCACTGTGTTTCCCAAATTCAAACTATGTGGAGACATGAAAAGGTGAACTTGACATCATCATGTAAATGGTCAACTTGACATGCTATCAAAATTTGTCCTTCAGCTGAAATCTTACTCAGGAATGAAATTTTGTCAGTGTCTGTCAATATACCTAAAAAATTCAGGCCTTTGTTTTTTTTGGTCAGCTACTATGTATATCAATCAGCACAACCTACTTCGAGTAAATCTGATTAGTTTCTAGTGTGATCTATTGTTGCTGAGCCCACCAGTGGTTTACATTTGTACTTGAGTGGTTACTTTTGCACTACTAATACGTTTCCTTACTCGGAACTGGTCAGCTCAGACGACCACCACAAACCGTATAATATTATCCAAACTTTAATGATTATTCGATCTAAGAGAAATACATGTGTAATTCCAAATCAGAAAACGCAAATTTAGTCTTAATCTCATAGCAAAATTCAAGAAAACATGACTGGAAACTTACTTCTGCGGCGGGTCGTAAAAACAGGTTTCTCACTTCAGGTTAGCAGATTCGGGTAAGCGAACAGATACAAAAATCGACTTCTCTCTCTTACTGATTCTTCTGAAAAACTGGTTTAAATCACGACAAGCTAACACTTTAAATCATTGTGAGGAATTAATGTCAATCACGAGTTGTGTTAATTAAATTATATTTATCATCATAGGCAACGCCTATTTACTAAACGAAACAATACATGAAAAAGACACCAGTCCTGTGGCTGTTTTCAGCCAATCAAGAGTGTAATTTTTATGTATATCGGTATTGCGATGAATTAACTAAAACCCAACATGTAAATGAAAAGGAGTTATCGTCTGCCAAATAAAGACTTAATACACATGTATTGTTACCAAGTTAAAATATCAATGTTCATCTGAACCATTATGAAGAGAATTTGGAGAACTGCTAGCTTACAGCAAGTCAACAAATGTTAAGGTCTGAATAATTCTAGGTATTACTTGGGAAACATGATAATAATAATAGTAATAATCACAATAATAATCAATATTAAACTAATTATAGGCCTTTATAAGCAATGGAATATAAGTGTTGTAGAAAATCATTCATGAAAACCAAAACATCACATCAGGGCGACCCTAAAAGCCAGAACGATGGAATGCCGGAACGACGGAACGACGGAATATGACCCCAAATCCTAAAACCCGGAGCGGATGTGAGGACATGTTGACAAAGACGATAACGCACGTGACTAAAACTAAGTGTTGATTTTTATTTTCCTTTACTGAGTGTTATGAATAATTGGGAACCATTTATATATGTGAAAGGTAACTGCTTGTAAACCTGTTCATTTATCTTTTGTTCTGCTAAATTTGCCATGAGTTTTAGTTGCGGCATAGGAAGTCGCACAGCACGTGAAAACTAACTTGACCTACCACATTGCAATAAACAATTGGAACATATATTTAGTGGCTACGTCTGCATGTATTTAATGAAACGTATGCTTGTAAGCGTGAGAAAGTCATGGGAACCTTCCCACGCTTCTCAAAATATAACGACGTTAAGTCGCAGCTTCAGTCGACTTAGACTAGCGTAAGAGCCCTAGTTGCGAGCCCTTTAATAAGAGCTTTTCTTCGTCCATGAATACATTTTAGACCTCGAGTAACACTAGTTGAAGAGAGGTTGTGTGGGTTCATCGCGTGGGAATTTTTCGTGGTGTCAAAAGACAAAGAATTACGTTTCCCATGGAAGGCCAATTTTTAAAAACGCCAGAGTTGAAGATTTGCAATTTGCTGAGGAAAAGAAGAAATCCACTAAACGAATTGGTGACAGCCTCTTTTTGTTCGCAAAGTCTATT